CTTACCCCAAACCCCCTGTCAGTCTATCCCGTCATCCTCCCTATCGCCGCCTGAGCCCCTCCCCCATGATAATCGACCCCTCCTCGGAATAGCGGTTCGTTCCATCATGTTTATTTTCTCTTTGATTTTTCTCTTCTATTTTCTCGTTGTCATCAGTCCTTTCCTATCAACCAACTTATTGCTATTCTTTCACAGATGATTACTGCGATATACAGGCGGAGCGGGTCTGGACAACGCTTCACCAATCTAAGTTAGATGTATAACCGTGAATGGAACTTAATGCTGGGAGTTTTGTGGTAGTCCACGACACATAGTTGATACTTCTGTCATTTTCTTTCTGTCCATTACTTTACTTCTCGCCCCCTCCCCCCACTACAACAATGTTCCCCTTTTATTACAAAACACATTTCCTTTGTTTCCCTCTTTAGAATGTTCTTTGGGATACTGCGTTATAGGAATATCATACCTTCCCCTTGGGTCCTTCAGTATTACCCTCTATAATTCATACTATCAAAGTAGACGAAATTCCGATATGATTCATAGAACACCTTATTAGAAATTCAGCCATCTCACGATGGTGATGCCTATTTGCGGTCCCTCCTACCGGCTCCGCACAAGACACTCGCTCTCGCAACGCGCTTGCTCTTCGCGTGGTCTCTGCCAAGCCCCCCCCCGGATCTTGAGCACGAGTGCCCGGGAATGACTGCCTTCACATGAGTGTGCCCAAACTCCCTGGGACCTCTCAGTCACAAATTGAATCCTTACCGAGTAAATGAATAACCGCAAAGCCAAATTGATAGAAATAATCACAATCGTGACGGAGGATAGGCTCGTTACTGTTTGTGTGTATATAGGACACCTCCGGCAGCATTAAAAGAACAAGAATCGCAGACACTCTACCTATCATAACCTTATTATTTGAATCTACCCCTCACAGTGCATGATATCAAAGATGACAGCTTTTCGATAATGCGATTTCCGGAACCCCTTGATAGATAGAAATTCAGGCACCCCACTCAGCCCTCACTCATACTAGTAGCTTCCATAGATAGATAGTGTAGCCGTGGTAGTGCCTGTCTGCAGCAGCCTATACCCACAGTGTCTGACGAGGCACTCACTCTGATAGCGCACATACACTTTATGGGGCTTCCCCCCGTCCGTAACTAAATCACGAGTACTCGATAATGACGCCGCCCACTAGGGTGGGTTTAAATGCTTTCCCCCCACCCCCCGGGTACACTAAATCAAACCTCACTAGCAAAAATACACACCACCATAATAGAAAATAGATTCGATATTTGCCTTCCTCTACTTTTTTCGGGTATTTTACACATACTCTACTGTACGGAACGGGCGGAGCCACGAGTTTCCCCCCCTTGAGCAACACATGTTCCCTTTGTGTAGCCAGATATACACCGTGCTTTCATTTCTCTCTTTCTCTTCTTCTCATTTGGCATTTCACGTTATGGAGACAATACGGGGGCCAGGCCGCTCCTTTTTTCAGAAATCTGTAAAGTCGTGATGGTTTTCGGAAGTAACTTGCATCGCCCTACCCCTACTTAATGCTATACTATCGGATTCCCAAAGTTAACTTTTTTTTAGATTTTTTTTTTTACAGCCACAAAAGCTATTGCAAATTTAGGAAAAGCAGAGCATCAGTTATTCTAATTCACATTTCTCAGCTGGCTAGCACACTCAAGATTTCACCCTCAGTTTATAGCATCATACCCAGACCCTAGGTTCCCTTGACCAACTGAATGCGCAGATCAGATGAAGGACGACGAGTAAAAATTATTGTTATAAAGTCTTAGCGCAGCGCAGCCGTCAGAGATGGTGGGATCAGCTCTTATGTCCAGGCTTCTATCTACTATGGCTTTACTAGGTAAAAGCAATTTCAACCCGCCCAATTTACCCAATCCTGAGGTTTCTGTATTATAGTTACGTTTCTTCTTTACGCTAGTGCTAACGAAGGGGCAATCAGAATCCGGATGCAGATAGATAGCTTACTTGACAATTAGGATTGTTTGCCTATTGTGGGGGGAGATTGGGCAGCTTACGATATCAAACCGACCCAACAGATTCTTGGACTACATTTCATTGAGCACTTGAAGCTCAGATTACCTCTCCGCCCTAGTATCAGTGTTGATGCTGCGATTTTTGATGTTGAGTTTACATCTCAAAAGTCAATGCCTCGTGTTTATTCGGCGGAGAACACAGTAGAAGGAAACAAAAATGTCCACGAGATTCGTGCTCCAGAGTCGGCCCCAGCTCACACCAGATAAAGTCAAAAAAACAACTCGATAGCAGAAGCTTGCTCCAATCATGTAGCAGTTTTTTTCTCTTTTCGATACCCGGTAAGTGATGATTTTGACCGTTGAAAAGGTCGTTTTCCACACGCTAGACATTAAGGTGCCTGTTTGGTATGCCAGTGTAGAAAAAAACCCCGAGTACCGAGTATTTTTGAAAACAGTGTATTTCTCAAATATAATATGGTTAGCTCTAAAATAAAAGTAAAGATGATAGCTTACTAGAGGCTACCCCTTTGTTTATTCTGGCTAGGAAAAGAAGGTAGCAGAAGTAATACTAGTTGAGAGGTAGATAAAAAAAAATGTTGCGAAATACACCGGCTCCGAGCAATATCCTGCAATATCACTATTCCCCCTACTCCTTTACCGTTAATGCTCCTACTGGCTTGCCCTTCGGCCAGAATGGACAAAGGAGTGCCTTCCAGTAAACAACCGCATTACCTTTTCTTTCGCTCTGGAGCTCACCTCATTAGGCATTAGGAAATACCCTGTTTTCAAAAAATTGTCAGCATTTTCCTCATTGGCACATGCCGAACAGGGGGTAAACATTGCAACCTCGCGGGGGCAGTTACGATTTTTGAGACAAACAATGCCGGTAGTATAAAAGTAAGTCTGGAAGTATAGATGAGGGCATAGCGAACTACGGACACCCATCGGGAGGGAATATCACACAAGGCTGCTGTCCCTGAGAGAAACAACATCGAACATCGAAAGCCCCCTCTATCACGCAAGAGTATCAACCGTGTAGCTTACCACTTGTTTCACCGAGGACTCCTCCTCTCCCCCGGAAGGTATTATATAATTTCACGTTAATACTGTAATAGTCGGCACCGTACGGTATCAAGAGGTTCGGGTGTGTCTTCACTATTTGACTTTCTCAATATCATATCATACACTTTTCTTCACCCATGCGCCAGTACATTATATAATACTGTAACGCGTTGCCCTACCGTAGTATGCTATCACCTCAGCCGCTGATATATTCCTGCCACAATCAAAATGTTGAAATCCATCCTAGTAAGTGGGAACTAATCTACGCAGACTTTTTTTTCATCATGGCCATACTGAGCAGTACCCATATTTGCGATATTCCGAGCACTACACTCCTCCGACTATCAACAAGGTTTTTCCTATCACGATTACTCAAATTGGCTAGTGTTTAACATTTCAAACGGGGCTGGAAATGGCGGAGGGGATATAATTACCGTACTGGTATGCTAGTCTGCCACGAGTTTCTATGCTGAAGCTGACTCAGCATAGCTCGTGAATATTCATTCCTCCCCCAAGGCCCGCAGCGATACCATACCACCGGCAATGCCGTGAATTTCGTAAAGAGGACTACTAGCACATACCACCAAAACCCCGAGCCTATGGACAACCTTTGGTGGTATTCAATAACACCGTCCCGCAACCGCCACGGTGACACCAGTGCTGTGCGGTAAGGTCAATGTACTGTACCTTACGGTATCATACTTCCATCATAGTTGGTAAAAAAATCACACCCAAACCAGACCCAGCGAAATACAACCTATCTCCCCCAAGACTACCCACCCGGATGAGCGACAATCGCACCTGTGCCGTACCATGCCCCCAATACCACACCTCGGTTGAAGAAAGGCCCACTCCTCGAGTCGCGATTTACTTGCGTAAAAAAAAAAAAAAAAAAAATGCAAAGACCCCCCTACACATGCGCGCGAGATACTGGCCAATTACGTCTATAGGACAAGTCCAGTTAATAAGAACTCTAGCCCTGCCAACAGCACTTCAATCACGCATTTGTTTCTCTCCAGCCCGTTGTTGTTATTCTCCAAGAATTGCTAAAGAACCGTGTTGTACTGTACTTTACTACACCACCGGCACCCTACGATACACATGTAGAAATTCCTTTTTCTACCTTGCGATGTTGGTATATAATCCATAAGCGCGACAAGCGTAGAGTGAATAGTGGTGGAAGGGGAAGTGTGGTAAGGGCAAGAAAGAGTAAGGCGGTCAGGCATTGTACAGTACTGTTCGCCTCGATTTCTAGGCGTACAGTACTATGGTATAGTTCTTGGACAAAAGTCATCGTTGGTGGGTCCAAGTACCTCCAAAACACACCAAAATAGTCCAAATTCAGGGTAATGAAAACCACAAATTGCATCCTCATCTCTTGATCGATTAAAACAAAAAATATACCAATAGATAGCTGACAACCTAAGGACTCTGAAATTTATATTTCTGTGATAAAATTATTTGTTCTGTGAGCAGTTCTCAGTACTTGGTGTGGCCTATTCTAAAATCTAACCTAACTGCCAAGAATTTGTATGGGCACTCATACAAAAAGATACTTGCTCCCAAAATCACCAATTCCACATTGCTACAGTTCACACAATATCATATGCTTCAAAATTTAAATCTCAGAATCAGAACACCTGAGATCATTATTTCAGGAAGAATTGAACTACTTCCACCACAGGTGGTTGAATTATGGCACAGTGAAAAATAGCATTTTTGGTGTAAAAGTGGTTATCAACGATGACTTTTGTCACCGAACTGGTACCCAGACATCCCTGGCCTCCGACAATTACGGGACTCATCCTAATTACTGGCGCCGTACCGGCAGGCCACCTTACTTGATAGATATCTCCTTGGCCGAGATTCGATCGAGCTCACGTCCGCCCGCGTAGGCGTCAAGCACCATGGACACAATTCGGGAAAACGCGAGTAAAAAATTCATACCAACACCACCAACCCTCCCAAGTACCCAAACACACACATCCTAAGCATTAACCACAACTTCAAAATCAAATCATAGCAAGCAAAGCAGACAACACAATGTGCATAACAGACTTTCCAAGCGCCTAAACGCTCCTCCCCAACAAACCCTACCTCTGGACCTCCCTACACTTCATCTCCTCACAACTCATGCCATTCTGCCTCCATCCCCGCCACCAAACAGGTCTCGAGCCTCTCCTCGGCGGATTATCATCGGAAACCATCTCATCTGCTTCATTCTGCTTCAACGCCTCACTCTCATCGTCCGTTGTGATTTCCACCTCCCAGTGCCGTCCTTGGTAGCAATATGGATACATGTCGGCGGGATCGTCCTCGTGCTCGTCGAATTCCGAGTAACGTATTCTAGCGCCGCAGCACAGGAATTCCTGCGTCTCCTCCTCATCGCCAAATTCGTAGGGTTCTTCTATAAAATGTGTGACGGCGCAACCGCCTCTGTTGGCCAGTCTATGGAAGGTTTTGTGACAGTAAACGCAGTGGCGGAGATCCGAGGCGGCCTAAAGTTTGTCAACTACCTTTTTCCAAAGAACCGACCGGGGGGTCAATTAATCGATTAATTACCTCTGGGAATGCTCCGGAGAGGATGAGCGCCTCTACCGCTGGTCGTGACAAGCTCTTCAGATGCTCCTCTAGTTTTTCCACCGTAGGATATTTTTCTCTCAAATTGTGAAAGGCTGGTTGTCGTGGTCTCGCCGCTAATTTCGTGGGTCGATCAGAGCCGCCCTCTGTTTTTCGCTTAGGCGCGTACGACATGATGCTGTAGATATCCTATCAACCTGAACAATCGAAACCCTCACTCTCAAGGAATCCTCGAAGGACTCAAGAATTCTGCCTCCGGGGAGCAGGGAGCATCCTACTTGTACCCCCGCTCGCCTCGTAACAACACTTTGACAAACACACAAGGCTGTCATGGCACGTCGGTGTTCCCCGCACTTCGGCAGTCTAGAATACAACCTAGCCTTTTGCTAACGGGTTTTGCGTTTCGCACCGTGGCTTCATTGGTCGGCCACTTTCGCACGCACCTCCTTCCCATTCGCCCGCTGGCACTGGTTGCATGTGCAGCCCGATCATGCCGTATCATTCGTCTAGCGACCGGAGATAAAAAAAAAAGGACCCGCCTAGCATTTTAATCTGCTTGCCATCACGATTGCGCCTTATTCAATCAGAGGATTGAGCGATACATGCGCTCGTCAAGATCTGCATCTCGCTGCATCCTTTAGGTTTGGAGGTGGTGAGTATGAGTTGTTGTACTCGAGTACCCTCGTACCCGAGAAGGCGCCGATTCCAAGCATATATCCGCAAGCGTCAGCTAGAGGACAACGACGCTGATTGCCACGGAACAATCGCGTGGGGTATTCTATGTGTCAATGTATCGGGGAGAAAGCAGCTACCTGTGATCTTAACCACTGCCCCGTAACCGCCACCCATCATCCTAACGAGTGACCGCGCGTGAAAAATGCTGTGAATGACATCGGTGTCTAACCTCCCCTAACCCTATCGAGCGCTCAGCCGCATATGGTACCGGAATCCTAATCCTCCGGGTTCGAACTCCCGGGATGCAGAAGAGCGGGGGCGCCATTCCCCCAGTTCCACTCGTCCCTTTCCATGGAATGTAATTCGGGCTGAAAGTTAGCGGCCCCAAATACCCGGAACCATTAAGAAATCCTCGGGCCCAAACCCTCCCCCATTCTCGCCTATCTCTTATCCAGAATTTTCGAAAAGAGACTGGTGTCGCCCAAGCAATCGGGGGAGGGAGCGTCTTAATTATGCCGTACCTGGCGAAAACGGCCGGCCAAGAATTACTCGTACCTCATCGACTGGACCGCAAGCTAAAGCAAAAGCACCGCACTATCCCTACCAACCCAAGACTTCTTATTTGACAGTAACACTAACACTATCATAGTAGGTGCGAACTCCACTCTCAATTGAGAATGTGCCCACTAACTTCCCTGGCGAATACTCTCGCCTTTCGTGGCTCTCGTATCAGAAATCCCTCAAAGTCTCCCGGTTGTTGATGCCGGGTCGGCGATTCAAGGATAAAATTTAATAAATTCTATTGAATCCCGGGGGAAATTAACGACACCTACTGCCTCTTCCTTCTTCCCCTTCGGTAGTCATCTTGTTTTATCGTTCCAAAGATCGTCCGATCCAGCATGAGTCTTAGTATTTGTCTCCTGAGGACGGTAGTAGTTGTAAACGAAGTCTTCCGGTCAGCGATTGTTATCCATTGGACCGCCGGAGGTTGTGATAACACATAGACCCAATCTGGTTATTTAAAGAGGACTGGAAAATATCCATGTACTGTACATGAAGGAGGGATGGAAAGTCCGTACAAGTAGGATACACAGGGAAAGTTGCGAATCCCACGTCACAAGAGAAAGAAAAATTCACAAAACCCAACGCAGCCACAAGTAACCCAGTTTGTTTTTTTCATCATAACTACATCCGCTCAGAATAGGTTACGACAATAGGTCCTACAAGTCGCGTCTCTAACGGCCTAGAATCTCTCTTTGAGCTAATATATTCACTATACAACTGCCGCATAAGTACGATAACTCAGATAACACAATTAAAGGGAGGCCGTCAATAACTAGTATTGCAAAGGCCCGCAAATAACTCTTCACCGCCATACAAGCAATTAGTCAACATCAACACAGCATAATACGAAAAGTTCATTGAACCTGCTAGCTAGCTACAGTACATCCTAGAAGTACATCTAAAGAACCGCTTTTAAGGGAAATTTTGAAAAATAATCAAAGACTATGAATAGCCGCGGGTCCACCCTCATTGTACTCCACTCTCGTCATAAACCCACCACTAGCACCCTGATCGACAATAAACAAAACCTTCGCTGCAACCTGAGCTCCCAGAAACGCCGCCTCCTCAAATCCGGCATCTTTCCATTCGGGAAAATACTCTGGCGCACGCGGAAACTTAATGTTCGTCGGCGTCTGGCCATGGCTGGAGTGGTGTCCGTGGTGGCCAATGGCAGGCAGTGGGAGGTTAGAGGTAGTCGCAGCGACAAGAAGGGGGTTAGCGCCGGTATGGCTGGAAGGGCCTGCTTGTGGGACGGGCGTCGATGTTCCAGTTGCGGCGGGGGTAGACATATTGGAAGGCAATTCAGAAGAAAAGATAGTCGCGGAGGAAGGTGGGATGATGTATTTGCTCTGAATGGTTTGAAGTAGAGCGTCCTTAAAACCTATATTTATCCGTTAAAACTCGAATGCAAAGCAATATTCTATCAAACAAGGGAGACAAACCTCTAATCTTGGAACCGTTTCCCACAAGAATGAGGCTTTCCCATAACTCTGCCCTACGGGAGACATCCTCGACCTTCGAAATAACTCTCCAGATGCAGTCTGCGAGTTCCTGCAAGATCCCGCATTCCGCGGCCATAAAGCGCTCGACGCCAACTTGAATCTCCCTACGAATTTCGTCTTCGCCGATCTTGGGAAGCCCCTCTGCCGCTGCCCTCTTCTCTTCCTTCCGTCTTTCCTTTTCCCTTTGTTTGCGAAGTGCCTCTTCATCTGAGACGACAGGAGCTGGAGCTGGAAGAGGTGCAACCTCAGTTTCTTGTGCGACAGTTACTGTGGTATCTGTAACTTGAGGAGCTGTAGTAGCCGTAGTAGTTACTGTAGTATTGGTAATGGTAGCTTCTACAGTAGCTACCACCTCCGTAGCCACAGTAGTCTCCACAATCTCGGCAGGCTTCGCAGGCTCAGGGGCAGAGTCCTCTGTCTCAGGCTTCTCTACAATCGCGCCCCCAGCAGCAGCAGCAGCCTCAGTGGTCACGGGTGGAATGGGGGCTACCGCAGTTGTAGCAGCCACCTCATCTGTGGAGGTAGCAACAGGAGGGGCAGTGGGAGCAGAATCGGTTGAATCAGCTGGGGCGGTTGGGGCGGCCGGGGTGATTGGTGCGGCATCTGTAGGAACCACCTCCGGAGCCGGTACTGTGGAGGCAGATGGAGTCTCTGCGGCCACTGTCGCAACTGGAATAGCCGGAGGTGCTTCTGTGCCCACAACAACTTCTGGGAGCTTTGGTGCTGATACCGAGACAGCGGATTGTGGTTCATCCAAAATCATTGCCGAAGATGAGGTTGGCTCGTCGCCATGTTTCTTCTTCTCCACAACCCAGAAACTATTTGTCTCCCTCTCTCGGTTGGGTAACTTCCGCTCGGCCTCCCCACGCTTTTCTTTCTCCCTCTTCGCAAGAAATTCATGCGTCTTTCCCGAGGCAACGATAGCAGCCACGTTCATGGTACCTTCCTCCTCATCAATCAAATCAGATCCATCCATCTCTGCTGCCCTCTTCATCTTATCGTTTCCCGCCGCAATCGCGGTGTTCACGGAAGTCGCGTTTGGCAAAAGATTACCGGAGTGCAATATCTCGCAGATTGGCGATCGTTTAAGCTGCTCGACTTCCTCATATTTCAATTCCGGGAGTAACTTCATTAGATGTTTCGTCATTGACTCTCCGCCCCAGCCGGGAATTGTCTCACGGGCTCGCTCCTGGATAGCGAAATCCAAAATGGGTGTGACATCCGTCTTCTCGAGCCCAACATCAATAACCGTAGAAGTTGACAGGCCGTAGGCCCACAATGTCGCTAGAGCCATGTCCATAAGTACAAAACCAGGGGCTTTCAACTTTTCAAACACGAACTGGGTAATCATCTCTTTATCGCTAGGTGTGAAAGCGGGGGGGCAGAGCATAAGAATTGGGGTATGAAAGGTCGGGTTGATTGTTTCGTGGACGTGTTGCCTAGAAAGAGTCAGCATAGGAGACAGAGAAGGACATGGGGGAGTTTACAGTAGCGCAAAAAAACATCCCCAGTCAACAACCTTTCCCTCCTTCATACACCAGACCGCACCCTCCTCATCGTCTTCATCTTCCACATACACATCGCCCATATCCTCATCATCGTCGTCATCGTCATCGTCATCAGCGTCTTCCTCTTCCTCTTCCTCCTCTTCTTCCGCTTCATCTTCTTGTTCGCCAACGACATCCATCATCTCCGAGTCCTCCACCTTCAATTCTGAGCCTGACGGCTTCGCTTCGTCCTTCACAATCGCCACCCCTTCCTCTTCCGTTTTAGCTACTTTTTTCTCGGAGATGTCGAGCTTAGCGGTGTCTTCTGCGGCCGCATTAACTACCTCCTTGATCGTGGACTCCGACGCCTTTGGCCCTTCTGTACTGCCGCCCTCATGCCTAGTCCCTGCAGCAGTAGCCTCATCGCCTTCCTCAACTTCCTCTTCATCATCATCCTCTTCGTCATCCTCCTCATCATCATCGTCATCATCGTCGTCGTCATCGTGCCCAGCCATCGCCGTTGCAAGCAATCGATCCTTCTCACCCTCGCGAGCCTCCCTAACCTTGGTCCATGTCCATGTCCCTGATTCCAATGCAGGAAACATGCGACTCGCGAGACGAAGCTTAGCGGGAGTAAATGACTCAGGTAAACCTAGCTGCGCAAGAGTGACCTGCGACCCGGGGGATATCACCTATGCTTATTAGCCATCAAGCTATCGGGGGAAGAGGGAAAGCAGTACAAGAATATGATCATCTCGAAAGGAAGGCATATGAAATTATCGTCCCACAAACCAGACGATCGAATAATCTAATTGCAGTATTAGTTGCAAGCGACGCAGTATAGAAGGTGTAGAAACTAGAAAGAGCCGACGGAGCAAAGCAACCGATGACGAGAACTTTGTTTGGGTTGTTTGGTTGGAAGCGAGGCGCGCGTTGGCAGATTTCTTTGTAAGCATCCCGCCACGTGACCATGGCTTGACCTGGATCTTGGCATGTTCGACTAAATATTACCACATGAATGGTGCTTGTAGTCTGAAATCGACCCTCCCACAACCAAGAGCGAACATACCCCAGCAATAACAAGAATTTTTGGTGAAAAACTCTTTATAAATGCCCCAGAATTGGCTTCCCTTTAATTATACGAGTGCGGCCGATAGATATACTCGTCACGTGAAGTCAGATAAACAAAAGCAGCATGTTGCAACCAATGCATACGGCATATAATTTAACTTGCTCATGTCTTCACCATTTAGTTAGCGGTGGGAGCAAAAGTTGAATGAGAATAAGCAAACTTCCTCACTCATCCTAAAGTCACCCACACCTGATTGGACTCATATCTCCGATGTTCCAACCATTTAAAATATTTATATTATGTTGGTATGAGCTAAAGTTACAGGTATCCTACTTGATTGAGCAATCGGCAATTTGTGTCGTGCTGGTTGCATCGTGTCGCTTTTGCTTATCTGACTCACGTGACGAATATATCTGTCGGCCGCGCTCAAGACTTCGTTTTTTGATCGAGCGAGTATTTGTTGAGGACGGTAAAGTGGGTGTTTTTGGGCAGGCAAACACACCTAAAAACGCATGCCGAAGCGCTAAGTTTTCTAAGCGCACTAAGCGAAGGGACGAACGAGAGGGTTTCGGGTGTCCGGCACTGTGCTTCGGTATGATATTTACTCGGACAACTCACTACCGAAAATGAGACCCGCCAGTTCACGATAAATTCGGTTTGATAGGTTAAGGTAATCGCGGATACCGGCAATTGAGATCCAACACATTCATTGAGCTGATCTTATGCCACGTCAGAAGAAGCCCAACCCCCTCTCGAGCTCCTTTCTCAGAATCCCGAGGTTCCAGAGCTGGCGGAGATACCGGTTGTGGACTACGGGGGTTCTTGCGGTAAATTAGTCGAGCAAGCACTGTATCACATGGTACCTTTGCATGGCCACCGTGCCGTAAAATCTCGTGAAATCCACCATCTCCGCCAGCCCAGGATAGGCTTTGTCTGACAAGTCAACAGGGTTGCGAATATCATACTACTCGTAGTTATGATAATGAGATCCAACACCCGTCCAGGGCTGGTTTTGTACTAGCACTTGTATGATACTGTGTCAGGAAGGCTCTAATTCCTCTCACGAACTCAGGCTCAGAATCCGGAGATCGCAGTGCTGACAGGTTTACTGTGTTCGAGTATTCCCCACATGTTTTGGCCCCCAAGGGGTTCTGTCTTGTATGAGTGAGGAATCCTTTTCCGGCAAATCTTCAAGTCAACTGATAGGACGAGAGTCGACGAGCAGGTCTCAGAGAACAGGCCAAACAAAATCGCCGCTTGCCGAGTCACTTTTAGTGTACCGAACCGGTAAATTCATGTTACTGGTACCACTGGCGAGGTTTGAGGTTCTCGGAACATGGAAGGTACTAACTAGTACAGGTATTTCAATCGGGCTGTATCTCTTGGAAAATACAGTACACGGTAAACCTTTTGGCAACGAGGTATATACAATGGGCTGAGTCCAGCGGCACAGTCATTTCATTTCCTGAAAAATATTTCTCACACCAAGAATAGCAGTGTCCATGATCTTATCCCTTTTCCCTTTTCCTTGCTCGAGACAACAGCGCTTACAAAAGACGGAAAGCAAGCTAATACACCTATTCTAGCTGCAGTTTATGCAGGTAAGGTTCAAAGAAATACACCTGTATTTGTATGGTATGATGTGTTCTCAGTTCGAGGTGTGCCGAGAACTTTGAATTTCCCTACTACTGGCACTCCGGCCTCATACCGGTAGAGCTCCGGCACGGTGGAGGAACTCTACAGCCGGAGTGCTTTCTCAAGAAAATATTGACCATCTTCAACCGTCCACCGGTATAGGGGTCTTCAACCACAAATTTGACGAGAATTATGGCTTTATTAGGTGACAGAGTGGATGACCCTCTACCCATTAACAGAAAAAAAAATTGGGATATGATATCTCAAATTTTCATGGAGTTACTAGTGTTTGGAAGTTGGTTAAATTTTCGGCAACAGCGGGGAACGTCTGGGACGGGTTAATAACTCTTAATTGCCTTGGCAAACACTTCTAATAGATATTAGCCGAGGTAGTAACCCGTAAAAATTACGCTCTTGGCAAATTAAAATACTATTACTAAGCCTATTCCTGCTGCAGCGTTTCCCCAACAATACCAATATCTTCCTCTGATCATCCTCTGTCTTGCCGGACAACCTCGCTCGTGCACTCGCCGGAACCGACAGGACAAATAAATTAGATTGAGACAAACGAGCGCGAAGACCCCAGATACATGAACTCGAGTACCGGTATCCTCACAAGACACTAAATGGGTCAAAAAAAAACTGAGTTTGGCAACTTCATACCCCTGGCTGAATTGCACTAAGCTATAGACACTTGGTTTCGTCTACTCGAGTAACCCTACTGCAGCTGAACCAAAGATACTGTACTAGTACCGTACTCCAGAATCTGGTGGTTTCCATCGCTGACGCGAAGAGTTGGAGTAAAAGACCTCTTTAATCAAGCAAAATGTTTCCGTAAGGCCTTTATAGAAAAACTCATAAGTGACTTTGGTGCGAACCCCTTCAACCTGTGACACACGACACCTGGAGAGAGAGAGATTCCACTCATCCTTCTGGGGCCTAATTTATCCGGTCACACTGATCGAGGGCAAGCAAGTTACCCAAGATACCTATCGTATCCTAGCACCTTTCGGTACCGGTATCGTACCGGTGTGGAGGGGAGATTGAGTTAATAGGGTATTGTCTGTGAGCCATGAGGTTTTTACCCCATGGGATTTCCTGTCTTTGTACATGCCTTGGCATGAACACATTCCTGTATTTAAACTGGGAGCTGGTCTTCTTAGTTAGACAAGCTCAACCACTCCTCAACAACAACCATTTAGATAGCGGTGTGTGCCTATCTAAATCAGGTTCAGCTTCAACCCCCTTTACTTCATCTGTGTTGGTCTATTTACTGCAATTGGATTCCAAGTCAACTTCCCTTCCTCTATCCATCAGTTTATCAGTCAGGTCACAGAGCAATAGTAGCCACAAGGTGCATGCTTGGTCGACACATCATCCAACTAAGAGAAGACTGATAAAACCTCCCACACCGGTATGCACTCACGCCGTGTTCAATATCCCCAGAAACACCGAGACAGCTCGGGTGCCAACGGGGTAAATTTAGCGCGTGCGCTCGCCACCAAGTTTCCAACCACAATTGGGTGTCGCCACATCAACCTGCCCCTCCCGTTTGGGCAGATACTCGAGAGAGGCCGTTTGCGGGGAAATGTTGGAAACGGTATCTGAGCATATGATATGATTCTCAAGTAGAAATAGACTATCAGCCCCGCAGAACCACTTTCTCCCCCTAGACCGAGCGCTCTAGAACACAGTAATGGAGAAAAAATAGGTAACCGAGAGCTCCATAAGCCCATCGTATGCACCATGATTTCAAATGGAGAGATCAGTTGGGGAATAATTTAGTGGTGGGGCATCTTATTTGTCTCGACGAGAAATACCGGTACCATATTAGTGCAACGAGACTCAGCCTTATTGCGCGTCCAATGCGCACCTTTATCGTATCAACCACCTCGCCCATCCTATAATTTAACACGCGAACTCGGGGCATAGGTTGCATTGTCATACCCGTAAACAAGATCTTAGTATAAAAAAAAGGCCGTCGAGCTAGGCATTACTAGGATCTAGCGGTAGAGTATTCTGGGCATCTGGGCACTGCAGTTCAACGGCGGCCCCGCGCAAAACACCCTCCGGTTCCAAAAATCCAGGGATCTGGACATGGCGAAGTAAACCCTAGCCCAAGCCCAACTTCTTTTTAGAGACCCTTTACAATTAATCCTGTCCTGGAAATCCGAAGATGGTATCAGAGGATAAGTTAGTGAGTGAAAATTTCTCGCGCCCAGCGGTGGATAAACGTCAAGTGTGTTTTCTCATGGGGCGGTTTCGGTGGACAGCGTACTATACTCGGACTAGTTGTGACGAATTACAATCACTTGCCCCCGACACTTGCTTATGCTGAGTAAGAAAGACAACAAAATAATTTCCTTAGTAGTATTAAAAATTACTGTATTTGTTGAATTTGCGACAAAAATATATATCATAATTATCATACTTATACCAGTAACCCCACAGCCTCCATAGAGTAAAGCAGTGGCTGAATAGTGTGGCTAAAGAACCTGGTCTGGGCCAAAAAAAAAAAAAAGTATAATAATTTATTATCATACTATAAGAACAGAGCTGATAAAGCGCCACTCTATGCAAGCCCCCTTTCCCTTCAGATAAGCTCGTACGATAGGGCTGACAACACCATCAGCACCTCTACGATATTAGGGGCAATTTTAAGGACTCCTGACCATCTATCATAACACCTGCCAAGGTCGCGGCGGTTCAGCCACAACCTTGGCACGAGTAAGCAAAGTAACAAATAATACGATACTCCCTTGAGTCTTAGACAGATGCAGTCACTGACTGATCAAATAAAAACAAAAAACATCACCATCGGGTAAAGCCCTGTCTGAGGGACAGCTCTAGAGCCAGAAACCAACAGCTTACCAAGAAAGCCAAGCAAAAGTCTAGAGATTTTCACTCTCGGCCGGTTAAAAAATGGCCGGGTGTACAGTACCTGTAGGAGTATGTGTAAGGAAGGGTGAATCTAATTATCAAGATTTTTTAGAACGATAACAAGGTTACGCAGTCCCTATTAGACTAGCTGGTTGGAACTCGACGCGGTGATGTCTTGTCTGCGGGAGTAGCCATGTCTCTCATGGGACAACAACTCCTCTCGCTTTTGGCACTTTGCCTCATCTGCCCTCGGCTTGGTTTATTCTTGGCCGATTGTGCACCGGATCTCGGCGCCAAGGTCTTGGAGAGACTCAATTGACACTTGCTCGACCCCGAGAGGTCCTTTGGCATCCACAAGGCGGAGCAGCGACCAATACAGTACGAGATCACCGCTCTGCCGGGAGCTTACGCTATGCTGTTCTTGGCAAGGTCAAGCCCATCCCTCATTCTTCAGGATCCGGTAAGTTATGGCACCCTATTACCGTAAACATACGCTCTGGCGGCGGTCCCCCCCTAGTTTGTGACAATGTGACTTCCGCCAAACTGAGAAGTTGGATACCGTACCCAAAAAACACGGTCCTCGACATCAGAGGGGCTGATATCTGGTCAGCGCTGAAATTTGATGGGCCCAAGAGTAAGGACTAGATACTCCAGCACTAATTATGGAACACCCGCTACCTCTTCTCTAGGACCGCAGTGATCAAGCCAGGAGAAGGTCACCAGCTCTCTCTCAACTCTATTCAATTTTCCATTTCAACTCAATTCCAGCCCCACGCCTTGGTCGTTCACTCTCCTGGACCTCAAGCATATAAGCTACCGGATCTCCCACCCAAAAGTCTTTCCTTTCCCCACTTCATTCCTCCATTAAAGAGAAATAACCACCCACTGAGCTCTCATTTCTCCTTCTCGCTCTACATTTCGCACCTTTATATATATATCCTTTCACTAATTATTGAAAATGCGCTCGTTCGTTCTTTCTTCGCTCTTTCTATCGGTCTCTTTGCCCAGCGCCCTCGTTTCCGCTTGTCTTTACAAGCGTGCGGATCCGTCCCTACCTTCGTACACTTATATTGGCGAAACCGGCCCTCTCCTCTGGCACAACTTGACTGTTGACGGCAAGAACTTTCCCTACCGCAAATGTGCGACCGGGAAGCAGCAGTCGCCGATCGACATCACCGACTCGGTCCCTCTTGCCGAGGATACCAGGACTACTTTCCCATTCTCCGGGGAGTTCACCATTGAGGATAACGGCCACACCATCGAGGTCACCCCTCAGAAGCCAGATGACTACAAGTCCATTCTCGGAGGCCAGGAGTATAAATTGAGTCAATTCCATTTCCATATTTCCAGCGAGCATCTCCTGCGCCATGAGACTTTACCCTTGGAAGTCCACTTTGTGCACACCAAGGTCGACGGTATGTTCCTTTTTTGCTACGAAACATTCATCGGGGGTAAGTTAAGGGCTAATTTGGGAATACAGATGACAAGAAGATTGCTGTCATTGGTATCTTTTTCGACCTGGTGGACATCGGAGCTGGGGACATGCTGCTCCAGTCAATCTTCCCGAAGCTCGATGATCTCGAAAAGCCCAAGCACCGCAGGAGGGGTGAGGAGAAGAGCGAAGATTATTTCAAGGTCCAGACGCAGTTAGTGCCCCAACAATACCATCTCCGTGAGAGCGGAAGAAGCTAATGCCTAGTGACCAGCTCCATAAACAACATTGTCGACAACTCTCACGTCCGTAGCTACCCGGGATCTTTGACGACACCTCCTTGCTCCGAGGAAGTCTCTTGGTACGTCGTTGAGGAACCCCTCAGCATCACCGTCAAGCAGCTCAGCAAGATGAGGAAGATCATGAAGTTCAACTCGCGCGTGACTCAAAACGACTACGCCAACCCACCCAGAGAGAACCTCCTTGCTCTTGGTCACTAGGCCAGGGAAACCGCCGCTTAATAATTAATACTGTCACATCCGCTTATCTTGGAGGTGGAGAAGAAAAAATTAATGCATGTATGGGGAGGTATTGGGTAATCAGGAATTAGAGCCATTGTATACATTACCGGCTATTGTTTTTGGAATATAATTTTGGTTTTGGTTTTTTTTTTTGGTGTTTTTGCCTTTTCCCCCTTCCTTATTGTAACCTATCTCAAATTCATGCTCCCGAGAATCAAACCGTCATAACCGCAAAACCTTTTCCCTTTCTCTCCCTTTTCCCTCCCGCAAAAGTCTAAAAGTCATAGAGTCTCTCTATACTCTAGTCCTGTACCCACTTCAATTAATCTATCCTAAACCCTGAACCCAGCCGACGTCCTATCCGCAGATAGCAGGCTCGAAGTGACCCGAATATCGAGCCCTGAATCCGGAACGGTTCCCTCATGTATGATACGCGCATATTAGTGGCCACACATTTGTCCAATACCCGCCCTCTGGAATACTTTTTTGCCTATCGCTCACAATAATCCCTACTGGCGCGGGTAGGAGCGCTGCAAGTACAAGTACTGTACTCACGCGCAAATGAAGTCATGGTCCCGTCCCGATCAAAGTAAAATAAAAAATATAAAAAAACACCCGAATCCAAGGCACCCGCACGATAACCTGGCTTAGGCAGGTAACCCGGTAAATCATCGAATCAGGGTTTACCAATTCACCCGGTAGAACTCCTCTCCCCTCCCAATACCGGTATGATACTAGCATGATAATCAAAAGAATTATTTTTATTTTTATTTTTTATTTTCAAGGAAAAAACCCCACTCCGTTCCAAATTTCCCAAGAGAAAAAAACCTTACGCGGGTTGAGAGTAGATCCTGCATAATACAACGTCAGCGGAGTCTCCTCCGTCTATCTTCTCGAGAGGAAGATTTCATGACCGCATCGGTGTGTAGCACAGTAAACTGTACAGCTCGCGATTGTACTTGCTGGATTTGTCGGGCATTTAACTTATCCGCTGGCGGTTGATGGGCGGTAGGTTATCTGAGTCGAGTTCGGAAGAAGCGCCAAGATCTTCGGAGAATTCAGTGCTCGAGTACAGTACCGGTAACTTACAGGAATATCTCTTCTGACCATGCATTGTGTTACAGCGGGTATGGATATTTTGCCAATAGTCATTCCGTGCAGGAGTGAGCCTGGTGGATGGGACGGAAGGGGACCGGTGGTGGATTCCCTTCGCTTGTGCGAGATGGTGTGGAGCAGGAGTATAATAGGTACAGTACTAGCAAGCGGGAGAGATGGTTTGTCGATTGGCGGGGAGATCCTGGGTTAGGATTGTACTGTACTGTACTAGTACAGTAGGGTGTAGTTACCGTAGTTCTGTGGTGGTGGAAGAGTACGTGTACAGTACTCGAACTGTCTGGGGTACCCATGTATTCGCAGGCTACCAGTTGCGCTCGGAGGAGTTCACTGGATGGTCGGGGGTAAGGTTAATAGATTAATTTAAGGCCCAGTCCGGTTCATGGGTTTTTTTTGTCATGAATTTGCGCCAGTTGCAACTTGAAATCCCTGGTGAAGTTTTCTCCAACCAGTGGATTTTTTTGGTTGTGCAGTCATTCTTTTTATCCCTGCAATGTCAGTACAGGTACCCGCAGTCTGTGAAGGATACCGGTACTCGAGTATACAAGTAACTTAATACACCCCCCGGAGGCACTTTTCACATGTATTTAGATTCACCACCCCCATTTAACTTATCCACTTTTCAATTCCCCCGTGATGGCATGCAACAGGAGCGGTTTTAAGCCGTCGTCGCAACAAAAAAAAACCCCTTCCAATAGCAGCTGGCAGATCCTGGGAGAGCCGAAAATTCCATAGGGCCCCAATCCATAGATCGATTGCAACACGTGATCCGAACGGGCGCTAGATTTAATAGTAGAAGACTGGCTCCCTGAGATCTCGCAATTTTCCGACGTTTGTGAACACAGCTGCTATCGCATAACTTGTGAGCAGAAAAAAAAATTGCTGGGGAGCCTCAAGATTTTGGTGGAATGCAATATCGGCGAGCAGCAGTGTTCACAAACGTCAGTGCTTACTACATGTCTCAGACAAGAAGTGCCGGTACTCGAGTACGGTACTGGTACTTGTGCTGGTACCCGAAAATAGGGGGTACTGTATCTTGCAAGTCCGGGGGCCCAGATACAGGTACTGTACACAGACAGATTGTTTTCCCCATCTATCATGCCAAATTCGGTTACTCTCCGCTCCCAGATTCCAATACCGGAATCCGGCCTCACCGTCTCGTTATGGTCCCGCGAACTCCAATCTAAATCTCTCTACCGGTATGCCAAAACCTGACCTGTTGTCCTGAACCACCCACCACACCGGCTGAAGTACTCGAGTTCCGTACATTACAGTACACACAGTAACAGGGCTGTAGGGTACAACCCAATAAAACGTCCAACCTTAAAATCCTATTGCCCAGCTCGATGCCGCCTTTCGCTCGAGACGCTGGGCGAGACCCCACCGCTTAACAAGCAACCCATGAGTAAGCACGGCAGGTCACCTTCTATTGTAAATTTAGTCCCAATCATTTCGTATAGATTGGGAAACAAGGGGAGATGCCAAGTGCCAAGTGCCAAGAGTCTCCGATTTTCCGGGCCTCTGATCATCCACGTTCATACCGAGTCTTGCACTTTGTATTCCCAAGATCTGTCTCGGAATCATATCTGCGACGTAATTGTAGAACTAATACAGTACAGTATGCCGGAATGCTCCGTTCGAGGCGGGAGTCGCTCCGCAATGCTGTGGAACAGGATATTAGAAGTCCTTGCGCCTCTTCGCCAGGGGGGGTGATGAGTGAAAGTAAACTTGAGCCCCATCCCTTCCCTCCCTCCCCAGGTTCAGCGACCGGCGCTACCCTTGGGTTGGATTTGGCTGGTTTGGCGCACGGGGCGCTTGGCCGGGAAACGCTTTCTGTAAGGGGTTTTGGGAGAGGATATCCGAAGATTTTGCCTCCCCACCCCCGTACTTGTAATATTATGATGGGTGCTTACATGCCCACCTAGAAAGTGCCTCGTCTGTGACGAAGTAAATATTTAAAGTGGAATATAAAGCCAGAAGCCCGGGCTATTTATTGAGGTAGAATTCGAGAAAAGAAGACATGCAGTTTCCATGCAGCGGGAAGGGGGAAAAAAGGTGGGGTCGGGGGTTTTGATAAGGGACTAGACTAATGGGGGTTGGCGTGATCTCGCAATCTAACTCCAAGAGTTTTTGATATTCGATCGTGGATTTACCGGTATTAAGTGAAGGGAAAACCAATCGGTGGTAACCTGAATGGACCATGGTTGCTAAATCCCGGTAACACCGTTGGGCGGGCTGGGGGACCGTTCCTCTTTCGAGAACTATCATAACATATCTTAGCTAAATCCACCTCTTGGCGGGGACGCGCAAGTACTCGTACAGTATGTAGATTTTGGAGTTAAAGTAAGTTAGCGTAAGTTACCGGTGTGGGCTAGGGTAATAACATAGGTTAGTTTGGCAGTCACGTGGAGAATTTTCTCCCACTTGTGACCGGCCCACTAGTAGATAGCTTGGCGTGCAGAGTGTTTTTCCTTTACAAAGCATGTCCGCGATTCCTTAGCTAGCCGAGCACGACAACCACCTCCCCCAGAGGGCAATTTTAATCACCACTCTACTCCTATTTAGGCTTAGCTTTCTGCACATTTCTCTTTCTACCTATTTGCATCGTTACACCGTAGGTATCCGGAGTCAAGTTTATCCTCCCAATCGCCGGTATAGCAAGTGGGTCAAGAGCGTACTCTCACACACATCGTTGGCCCGGTCAAGACACCATCCACCTCCGGGAAGGTGAACGAACACTCCCACACCGGTGCTGTACTGTACTCGTACTACTCGTACTCGTAGTACATAGAATCTGCGCGGGACTTGCTATTCTTGGCGGAAATGCTCGTGGAGTGATTCTAGTCTGCTATTGGTGTTGTAGAGTATTTACCCAAGAGAAGGTAATCCACAGCACGGTATTGTACTACAACACCTCACCGAAAGTCTCTCCCCAATGAAAGATTGTGTTATCCGCGCCGGGGGACGAGAAGGAGGAGAGCACTACGAGGCTGCAAATGATACAGTATCGATAGCTGCGAGTATTCTATGTTATTACTATTATCCCATCCGTCGTTTATTCCCGCGGTAATACCTAGGCAAGAGGTTGAAACCTCCCACTATACCCCCATCGCTCTAGGCCTAAGATGGTAGGCCCAGAGTCTCCCACAAGCGTAGAGAAAACAGCCTATCATACCAATACAATACACTACGATACGGTGCCCAAACAAGTCTGCACCGATCAGCTGTGGCAACTACAATTACTGCAGGTACAGTACAGCATTGCATCATCACCGACCCTCTCTCTCCACCCTCACAAGCAAACTTACCCCCCATGAGGTAGAGCATCACGCAACACCTCGACCCAACCTATCGCACGGCAAAAATCCACAAACCAACTCCCTGTGCTTAAATTGAGTTATGCCGCTGTGCATGCCAATGTCAAGGCAAAGCTGCACGTAACAAGGCGATATGTAGACTATAGCGACTCGCACCGAAAGACGTGATATCTCCCGAGCAAAAGAAAAAAGGGGGGGGAGTAATATTCTATCATATCTCATGATTTTTGTGCTCGGTCTTTTTTTAAAAAATAAAATAAGATAAAAAATAAAGTCCATCATCGCTCTATGGGAATTTACTGTTGTCGAAGTAGTCATGGTGCGTATGGATAGGAGAGTACCCGCGGTCCTTGTCCAACCTTGACATGTACGATACCACAACCCGATTTAAGCTCAGGCAACTTTCACATGAAAAGGTAGCACCAAGCAAAATGATATTTCAGCCAGAAGAACCTCCCTCTCTTCTGGGACTCTCAGCTGCTTGATAACCGACGAGTACAGTAGACACTTTGCTTGAGTACTGGTACTCAAGCCCTGGATACTGGTAACTGCACTGTTATAGCACCGAGAGCCCCCGGATCTGCACCATCGACCGTGCGCCTAGCCCAAGTTCTCTGCTCCTCTCTGCGAGAGAGAGAATTAGGGGTGAGTCAGTGGATAAGGGCCGAGATTAGGCCCCGTAGATTTATGGGCTCATCGGGTGTCACTCGGAATTGTCACGGGATTCACATGGTTTCGAGTAAGCATTCGCAGGATGACAGTTGATGCTTCGCGGGAGAGCGCTAGGGAAGAGGATGCTTGAACTGCTGCTTACCGTATCCCTCCGTAAAAGTGGGATTGGGGATAGGAGCAGCCAGTCTGGCCGCGGTGCGGGGGAGGGAGACATTGGATCGCTGCGCTGTCGCTCGAGTATG